GCTTTTTCTAATTAGTGCGACTTTCCCGGGTGTCCGGAGGGAGGCGGGGCCGCCGGGGCGCGGGGAAGCGCCTACGCACAAACTGGGCACGGCTTCGCATGCCACTGCGCCTGCGTGCACCTGCCCCTCCCAGGGTGAAGCGGGGCTTTGGAGCGGCCCGCCAACCTACCCGCTTTGCGCAGGCGCCGTCCCGCGGAGGCCCTGCTGAGAGTTAGGGGCAGGGGGTGTGGCCAAAGGGCCGCGGGGTGTCTCGCGCTGGGTAAGGGCGTTCGGGAACAGTCGGTTGGGGGCGGGAAGGGGCTGACAGGGGTTCTGGGGTGGGTTCAGGGAATCCGCAGGGGAAGTGGGGTGCAGGGGCCGGGGAAGGAGCACTTGAGGTCAGAACAGCCTTAGAGCTCAGGGTGCAGCAGGGTGAAGACTGGGGAGAGGTCGGGGGTCGCGGGGGACAGAGCCGGACCAGGTACAGGCAGGCGCGAGCAGGCCACTAGCTGAGATGAGGGCGAGTGTGGGACCAGAATAATTTCTTCCAGGAAAAAGCCGACTAGGATGTAAGAAAGGAGGGCGGTGGTAAGAATCCCAGATTCGGGCGAAAAAGGAGATGAATCCATTGGGAGGGTGGGAGGAAGATCTTGAAGAGGTCCCCATGTGCTAAGACAGTAGGGAGGAGGCGACAGGAATGGACGCTGAGGCCACAGTAGAGAGAAGCTGAGAGGAAGGTTGCAAGAGAGATTGCACGAGATGCCAGGGAGCCAGCGCTCCTGCCTGCAGACCTAGGCTGCCTGGGAGGCGGCCACCCTGGACGCTGCCCCGCTCTCCCGGCCAAGCCCTGAGCCTGCCCTTTCCTAGGGAAGGACCCAGGCGTCATGGCTTGGTGGGGTCTGGACGGGCTTCCCCAGGGCCTTGGCGAGCCCTGGAGAGAACTCTGGAGACCCGGCCCAGGGCCCCTGCACCGAGTACCTCCCTTTCCACCTCCAGCCCGGAGCAGCAGGGACTGTAGAAACGTGAGGAGAAGGGTAAACGCACTGCCCGAGTCCCCCAGATAGCAGTAAAGCCCAAGGCTCCTTGGCTTGTCTGTAAATTTCCACCACCTGGTGATTACCAGCCAGGTCCTATCAGGAACCAGGCTGGGACCAACAAGTGGTCCTGGGAATCTTCCCTTCTTTTGAGAAGTAGAGAGGAGCTGAGAGGCAGGCAGACCTGGCTGGAATCAAAGGGTTAGGACTCTATTATTTTATTTATTTATTTATTTATTTATTTATTGGAAAGGTTTTTGCCATAGGGCCCATGCACTCGCCAGAAAGATGGAGAGAAAAAGTGGGACCAGCAGTTAGCGTAATGGCTATGTCGCTGGACTCCCATGTAGTCGACCGCTGTTCGTGTCCCAGACCCAGTGGCTTAAAACTCACGCCGGGCACGTGTGCGTGCGTGCCCAAGATCCTGAGAGGAGAAAGGAGGAGAAAGGATTGCGGCGTGGCCATCCCCCTGGGGGGTGATTTCTCGCTTTCTGTCTCTCTGTCTCTCTCTGTCTGGCAAGCGCACACACACCCTGTAGCAAAAACCTCTCCAAAAAAAAAAAAGAAAGATGGAGAGAAAAAGCGAGAAATCACCACCCAGGGGGGATGGCCAGGGGGGTGACATAGCTATTACGCCCACTGCTGGTCCCAGGGCTCTGTTATTGTAGGGGCTTTCTTTCTGGAAAGTGGCCTGAGAATTGAGTCGTGTCTTTGTCTCTCCTACTGTCCAGGGGAACGTGGATGGCTGGAGACAGAGTCTGGAGCCTTCAGATAATGTGGAAATGTTTCTGCCTTCAGGTCAGTGGGGCCAGGCAGGGGACGGGTGAGCGCCTTTCTGGAGAAACTGACCATCTCTGCTCTTGTGATTCCTCAGGTTCCAACAGGCTGATTCCCCCCTCCCACTTCCAAGCCCGGCCCCTTCCAACTCTGTCAAGAATGGCCCCTACCTGGGTCTCAGACATGCCTTTGGTCCAGTCCCCGCCCCATCAAGATGTCCCAGAGAGGCAGCTGGAAAACCAAAGACCTCAAGTGACCATGTGGGAGCGGGATGTCTCTGGTGACGGCCAGGAGCCAGGGCGCAGAGTCAGGTAGGGATCTTTCATTGCCTTTCCTTACCTTGTTTTGGCCCTGAATCCATAACTTGTTTATTTTACATAAGCAATTTAGTATTATTATTATTTTCTTTTTTTGGTGAGGTTTTTCTATAGGGCACGTGCACTCGCCAGACAGAGAAAGACAGAGAGACAGAAAGCGAGAAATCACCCCCCGGGGAGGTGGCCACGCCACAATCCCTTCTCCTCCATTCTCCTCTTGGGATCTTGGGCACGCACACACAGGTGCCCGGCGTGAGTTCAAGCACCAGATCCAGGACTCAAACCCCGATCAACTACATGGGAGTTCAGCAACATAGCCATTACGCTAACTGCTGGTCCCGGACCATGAGCAATTACTGATACCTGCAGTGCACACATAATAAAGCAGTGTAGTAGATGCTAGGAATGGGGATAACAAAAATGAATAAAGTATTCTGACTTAATTTTTTAAACATTTCTATTAGTGTTTTTATTATTTTCAATTTTGCTATAGGGTATACATGTTCACCAGAGGGAGAGACAGCGAGAGAGAAGGGAAACAAGCTACCAGGTCTGGGACTCGAATTGTGGCCGGCCATGTGGGAGTCCAGTGCCCCAACCATGTTACCTGCTGGTCCCCTGACTTAAATTTTAAATGAAAAAGGAATTTAAAACCAGAGGGAGGAGATAGACCTGCCAACACTGATGATAAAGCGTAGCAAGATGAAGCGTAAACTGAAAGCACAGACTCAGCACTGTGGTGGTATGAGCTCATCCGGGTAGGGTATGATAGCTGAAGAAAACCTTTACAGAGGACGTGCCATCTGTCACCCTGTCATCTGTGAAAACTGCTCGTTTCCAGTGTGTCTTCCCAGAATGTCATGCCGCCATGCCGCCATTTTGCCCCAGAGTGAGATTGCAGCAGGGAGGAAGAAGCATGACGGAGAAGGGGGAGTACTAGACTTGCTGGGGGCAGTGTCAGGAGACGACGGTTCTCTATGTCTAGTTCAGCTGTAAGCAAAAACAAGGGGACTTTGGGCAAGTCACTTACGTTCCCTAACCTACAGATCCCCGCTACCTCAAAGAGTCCTGTGGTTCTGGGCCTCAGTGAGGGGGCTGTCCCAGGAGCCGTGTTACAATCTGGTGTAAACTTTGCATGACACCAATTGCCGAGTCCACAAAGGTCAGGCCCACGTTGTTTGTTGACGTACTGGTAATGTGTACCTAGCGCTCCATAAACGCCTCTAACGAGCGCCCAGCCTCACCGCATTGCTACTGCGGGCTCATTACCTCTACAGCCAGGCCTCCTTCCAACTTCTTGCCCTTAAATCAGAATCAGAAGTCTCTTGTTCTTCCAACCTGTGTCCTTAGGGTGTGTGTCCTGGTGATGTGCACATTTGATGCTTATCTTACTGACTTTTGGGTTAAGGTGGCTAGATCCCGCGTGGCTGGCTGTATAGTTCGAGTCCTGGTTCCAGCGTCTTGAGAAACATGTTGGGCCCGGGTGCATGTGCCCAAAGTGCTGAGAGGAGAATGGAGGAGGAGGGATTGCAGCATGGCCATCCCCCCTGTGGGTGATTTCTCACTCTTCCCATCTTTCTTGCCTGCTCTCTGTCTCTCTGCTGATTGCACACACTTTATGGCAAAAAAGAAAAAAAAAAGGAGGGACTGGCAGATTGCATGGTGGTTAAGGGCGCTGGACTCCCACATGGCCGACCGTGGTTCAAGTCCTGGACTTGGTGGTTTGCTCTCTCTCTTTTCCTCCCTCCCTCCCTCTCTAGTCAAATTTAAATAAATAAATAAATAAGAATTTTTTATTAAAAAAAGGGAAGAATATTGCCTTTTTATGTATTGAACTGCTAGAGGGCACAAGCATTTGCCATAGAGAGAGAAAAAGGAGTGTGAGGAAGCACTCCCTAGTGGCACGTGGTCATGCACAGCCCCTTCTCCGGTTCTCCATCCTGTCAGGAATGGGGCACACATCCGCATGTGCCCAGCATGTTTTTCAGGCTGTCAGGGCCAGGATTCCAACCGTAGTCAGTCATGTGGGATCCAGCTCTCTTAACCAGTAGGCCGTGGTGCCAGCCCTCTGGCTGTTTAACTTAACTGCCTGGGAATTGAACTCTGTCCTGAGAGACCTGTTCCATGAGCATGGCTGGCCTTTGTCCGGTGTGCACAAGCACTGGACCTAGTGTGCTCGGTGGGGCCTCTGTGCACGATGTTACCCGGGCCTAGCCTCAACTGCTGCCTCCCCACACAGGAGTAGAGGGGTCCTCTTGTCTTCCTCCTGTTTCCCCTTTGGCCCTTGGTGACATTTCCAGCACCGGTGACATGTCTCACCTGCACCAGCCTTTTTTTTTCTTTAAGGTCTCTAGGGCTGCAGGGGTCACAGGCCCTGAGCCAGCAGGCTGAGCTGATCTCTCGGCAACTCCAAGAGCTGCGGCGGCTTGAGGACGAGGTCCGGGTCCTTCGGGAGACCTCCCTGCAGCAGAAGATGAGGCTGGAGGCCCAGGCCATGGAGCTGGAGGCTCTGGCACGAGCGGAGAAGGCTGGTCAAGCTGAGGCCGAAGGTCTGCGTGCTGCCTTGGCCGGAGCCGAGGTTGTCCGGAAGAATCTGGAAGAGGGGAGCCAGCGGGAGCTGGAGGAGGTGCAGCGGCTGCACCAAGAGCAGGTGAGTGCAGGGATGGGCGGGGCTCAGCTTCCTAAGAGTGAACTGACCTAGCTTCTCAGTGAGGAGCAGGTGCTGCAGAAACAAACCTGTGAACGATGGAGCCATGGCGTCTTTGGTAAAGGAGAGACACAGGTGGTCTGAAAAGGAGGACGTAGGTGTCTGCGTGCATCCCCTGCCCAGGCCCAGGTGACTTCCCACCACTCGAAGCCTCTCTCTCCCTCTGGCAGGAAGTAGTCTGCCTCCCTACTTTACTCCAGGGACCTGGTTGGCTTGGGAGCATTGTGGGGACAGTGAGAGGGTGGGAGTGGGGTTCTGCAGGGGACGCGGCGCCTGCTCTGCCCTCCCTGAGACAGTGGCCGGGACTCAATGACCACACCAGCCGGGCCTTGCTAGCCTAGTGGGGGACACACACCTTCAGCGTTTACTTAGTCGTATTTAGTTATTTGCATTTGGGAAAAGTGCCTTGAAGAGGGAGCAGGAGAGCCCTGACCTATGGGGGTTAGAGAAGGCCACCCTAGCCACTTGACACATCAAGAAATGAAACCATAGAGGTAATGGAAAGAACATGGGGGAACGCCTTTGTAACCTTGCCATTGGGAAGGCCTTTCTACCTATGAGTGAACTCCAGAAGCATTGGCCCAGCAGGTGGCATAGTGTTTAAGATGCTGGACTCCCACGTGGCCGACCACTGTTCAAGTCCTGGACCCGGCTGTTTGAAAATGCCAGTCATGTGTGCATGCATGCCCAAAATCCCAAGAAGAAAATGGAAGAGAAGGGATTGTGATGTGTCCAACCCAAGGGGTGATTTCTTACCCCCACCCCTGCCTCCAGTGAGCACACGTTTTATGGCAAAAAACATAAAAAAAAAAAAAAAAAGGAAGAAAGAAAATCCAGGGACTGGCATGTGGCTTAGTGATTAAGGTGCCAGACTCCCACGTGGTCGACCGCAGTTCAAGTCCCAGACCTAGCGGCTTGCTTTCTCACTTTCCCTCTGTCTCTGTCTCTCTCTGGTCAAATTAAAAGTAATAATAATAAATGCAGTTAAACAATTCTTTAAAAAAAGAAAATCCAGAAGCATAAAAGATCAATACATTGACTTTATGATAGTAAACTTAGGAATGACAAGAATAAAAAAGTTAAGGGACATTGACCAAGCCCAGCCGTGGTGGTGCAGGTGGTAACTGCAGCTGTGTGGTGCTGGAGCCATATGGGAAGACTCCGGATTTGCACCCGGTTCAGATCTTTATACAAGGACCCCTCACCTTAGGAGCAATGAGCAACCATTAAAAGGTTTTAAGCAGGGAAGTGATGTGGTTGGATTTGTCTTTTATGTCTAAAAAGACAGTTTGAGGATTTATACCCAAAAAGGTCACGTCACTGTCATAGACGGCTGGAGGGTGCAGACTGGGAAGCAGAGCGTCTGCTGTTCCCGTCTTCTCGGTCTGTGCAGTGGCCTGTAGTGGCTCTGCTATCCCTGCCACCATTTGAGGTGCCTTCCAGTGGGGCGTGGCCGCTAGTAAACACACATGTCCGTGAGGAAGTGTCTGGTGAGGAGTGCTCCGAAGGACGTGGACGGCGAGAGGACGGAGTCGGGTGGCGGGCGGGGATTAGAACACCAAAGGAGGGACACGGCCCAAGGTCTGCAGAGCAGCAGGGAGCAGGGCGAGTAGCTGGGGAGGCTGGGGAGGTCCCCTCGGAGGCAGGCAACGGGCAGGGAGGACGGGCTCTGCAGGCAGAGGCAGGTGTCTGGGCTCGTTCTGAATGCCACGTAAGCCACTGAAGCCTTCTCTTTTAATTTCCAGAGGGTGCCCGCCCATCAGAGAGAAACAGGGAGAGAGTGTGAAGCAACCCCCCATGGGGCCATGTGGTCACAGGCAGTCCCTTCTCCCTTTCTCATCCTTTCTGCATTTGGGCATATTCGTGCACGTGACCAGTGTGTTCAAGCCATCGGGGCAGGATTTGGCCATGTGGGATCTGACTGCCTTAACCACTAGGCCACGGGGCTGGCCTACCATCGAAGCCTTTGAACGACCTGTTTAAAAGTGATTGTCCAAGCAGGAGATAGGAGTGACTTCCTTTAGGTTGGTGGCAGTGGAGACAGAAGTGAAGACAGGTCTTGGGAGAAGATCCAACAGAACTTGTGATGGTTTGGGGGACACTGGGAAACAGGGGTGCCAAGGGCGATCTCCATTCGCCACACACGGATAGATTTTTGGGGGCCATTTCCTGAGGTCTCAGAAAGTGGGGGTGAAGGACAGGGCCAAAGCAGGGGGAGGTCTGAGGGCTCCAACGTGGGAGGGGGCTGACCCCTGCTGAGCCCTCTTCTCTCCACAGCTCTCTTCCCTGACCCAGGCTCACCAGGAGGCTCTTTCCAGTCTGACCAGCAAGGCCGAGGGCTTGGAGAAGTCTCTGAATGGCCTGGAGTCCAGGAGAGCAGGCGAAGCCAAGGAGCTGGCCGCGGCCCAGAGGGAGGTCGAGCTGCTGCGGAAGCAGCTGAGGCAAGTGGGGGAAGGAGTGGCTTGAGGGGTGCCAGCAGCTGGTGAGGTGGAGGGGGTCCCCACTGGTGAATGCCGCCTTCCTACACCAACCCTAGCAAGACCCAGGAAGACTTGGAGGCCCAGGTGACCCTGGTTGAGAGCTTAAGGAAATACGTGGGGGAACAAGCCCCTCCCGAGGTGCACAGCCAGACGTGGGAGCCGGAGCGGCAGGAGCTTCTGGAAACCGTGCAGGTGAGAGCGCACGTGTGTGTTTGTGCAGGACCCGGGTGGGACGGGGAGGAGAGGGGGAGCAGGGAGCGCTGTCCCAGGAGAGGAGGTGGTATGTCGCAGGGCACAGGGGGCCTGCCAAGGCAGGCGCTGAGTCCCGCCCCGGCAGCTGCTCTCCCTCGGCTGCAGCATCTGCAGGAAGACCGGGCTGGCCTGAGTACCGCCACGGAGCTGCTGCAGGTGCGAGTACAGAGCCTCACGCACATCCTCGCCCTGCAGGAGGAGGAGCTGACCAGGAAGGTAGGCAGCCTGGCCCCACAACCTCGTACCTGCTGCCCTGGCCTGCCCGTGGCTGTCTGCTAGGGCAGCACCCAGAAAAAGCAAGGCGCCAGCTCAGTCCTCTCCTCCCCTCTGCCCGCCTCAGGTTCAGCCTTCAGATGCCCTGGAGCCCGAGTTCACCCAGAAGTGCCAGTCCCTGCTGAAGAGAAGGTGTTCACCCTCATGGTGCAGCTCAAAGCCCAGGAGCTGGAGCACAGAGACGCCGTGAAGCAGCTGGAGGGGCAGGTCACTCTGTCTCCTTCCTCCTGAACGCCCCCCAGCCCCTTGCCCCTCGCAGAAGGATGACCGATCCAGCAAGCTTGTTCTGAGCGTCACCACGTGCCGGCACACGGTCGTACACCAAGCAGCCGAGAAGCTGCTCACGGGCTTGTGGGACAAGCCGGTAACAGCCAGGGATCCTGAGTAATCGCGTGCTATGAAGGAAGGCGTAAGCGAGAACGCGAGAGCAGCCAGCTGGTGGCGTGGTGGTTAAGGTGCTGGATCCTACACGGCTGAGCACGTTTTTGAATCTTGGATCTGGTGGTTTGAAAAACATGCCAAGTGCTTGTGCATGCTCAGAATCCTGAGAGAATGGAGAAGGGATTGTGGCATGCCCATCCTCGGGGTGATTTCTCACTTTCCCTGTCTCTCTCTCTCTCTTTCTCCCTCCATCTCTCTGTGTCTCTCTCTGGCAAATGCACATGCCCTGAAAAACAAACAAAAAAAATAGTGACAGACGGTGGGGTGGGTCAACCTTAGGTAGGATGGTTAAGGATGGCCTCTCTGGGAGGGGACAGCACCTGAGGCAGTGACATCATAGGTGGTGGGTCAGGAGGCCTTCCTCAAGGTGTGGGCACATGGGACAGGTTCTGGAAGGGGATTCGGACTCAGACTGTAGTCTCAGGAACTCCCTCCTGCCACTAACACAAAAAGCCAGTCCCGTAGCCGAGTGTTAAAGGAGCTGCATCCTATGTGGCTGACCACAGTTCAAATCCTAGCCCTGGTGCTTGAGAAACATGGCTGGGCACGTGTGCATGCACGCCCAAACCCTGGCAGGGTGAGAAATGGAGAAGAGGTCGCGGGGCCAGCACACCCCATTGGGGCTGCTTTCTCCCCCTATTTCTGTCTCCCTAGTGAGTACACACACTCTGTGGCAATTTGAAAGAAAATGTCAGGAACCCAAGCTTCTCCTCTCCCTGCATGGCATTTTCTGAGCCCTCTCCACCACCCCCTTCCCAGTGCCTGCCCGCGGCCAGCCAGGGCCCTGACGTCTCTTTCCTCTCCAGGTGGCGGAGCTCCAGGAACAGGTGACAGTCCAGAGCCAGGAGCTGGCCATCCTGCAGCACTCCCTGCAGGACAGAGCCACAGAGGTGGAGGTGGAGCGGGTGGGCGCCAAGGTCAGTGTGGGGGCCAGGCAGAGGCCAGGGAGGCCCGGGTCCCAGGGAGGGACCCCTTCTTTTACCACCTCTTCCCCAGGCCCTGCAGGCGGAGCTGAGCCGAGCCCAGGAGGCCCAGCGCCGGCAGCAGCAGCAGGCCGCCTTGGCCGAGGAGCAGCTGAAGCTCGTGATCCACGTGGTCAGCAGGTACCAGAGGGAGCAGCGGGTGCGGTCTTATTTCCACCTGCCCGGCTGCCTGGGCACCTTGGAGTTAGAGAGGGAAGTTAGGGCCGGAAAGTTGGCATCCGGTGGGTACAGAGCTGGGTGTGGGGTAGTCGGCCCTGTGGAAGTGTCTGTGTGTGCCTGGGAGCCCCCACATTTCCACCACGATTACCTGCTGTGAACCCCCCACGTGTGGGACGGAGGTGGACAGTGCCACCCTGGCCGGTCAGCCGCACGGCAGCTTGAGCCAACAGCACCGAGGGGCTCAGCTTCAGAGCCGTTCACGGTGGGGCACGGGGACTTGGCCTTCGTGCTTTCTCCTTTTAAAATTGTCGACATGCGGGGCCAGCAAGTGGTGTGGTGGTTAAGGTGCTGGAATTCCCACATGGCCGACCGCGGTTCCAGTCCTGGACCTGGTGGCTTCTCTCTCTCTCTCTGGCAAAACTCATGTGAAAATAATAATAATAATAAATAAAGCTAAATAAATTTAAAAAAAAATTGTCGACATGCCCTGCTTAGTGAGGAGGGGTTAATCTTACTTATTTAAAACATTCTTTATACTCATTAGTTTGTGTCATTTTTTTTTTTTAATTTGCCAGAGGGTGTGGGTGCACAGCAGGTAAAGCACTTCCCCAGGGCAGGGTCACACTGCAGTCCCCTCTCCCCTCGCCCTCCTTTCAGGACTCTTGGACATGCATGCATACATAGCACCCAGCCCACCCAGCGTGTTGCTCAGGCTGTGGGGTCTGGGACTCAACCACGCGGTCGGATGTGCTCTACCACACCACGGGCTGGCCTGCCAGTTTCTTAGTCAGTCACAAGCCTGTATCTCTCAAGTCCCTAGTTTCATTACGACAGTTGTTACATAACTTTGGTCAGTGGTAGTGACCTCTCCTGAGCCTTTGCCGTTGAGGGACCTGTGACAGGTAGGGGGTCGGCCGGTGGAGCGCTCAGCACGTGGCGGCTCAGCATCTGCTTCCTGTTACCCTGCGGCTGTGCTGGGTCCGGTAACGGTGCTGGGTTCAGCAAAGTGTGCAGCAGGGTGGGTCCTGGCCCTCCGATCCCTTCTCTTAGATGTGTACCTTGGGGACAGATTCAGCCCAAATTATGAAAAATTTAAACACGCACAGAATTAGAGCGGTTGTGATGGACCCTCACCCGCATTGTCTGGTGCGTGGCTCCTACCCGGGAGAACGGGAGATGGGCCGTGGGCAGGACTTGTCTTCCGCACCAGGAGATCGCAGGGTGATGCTGGCTCAAAGCAGCCTAAACAGATACTGTCGCCCAGTTAATTAGACAGTCTGAAGACTGTCAGACTTTATCAGAAAGTGCCTTTCAGGAGCCAGTAGGCGGCATGGTGGCTGGGGGCACTGGACTCATCACATGGCCGACCGTGGTTCAAGTCCCAGACCTGGTGGCTTCTTTTCTCACTTTTGCACTCTTTCTCTCCCTCTCTGTCCCTTTCTGGTCAAATTAAAATAAGTAAATAAAGTTAAATAAAATAATTCTTTTTAAAAAAAGAAAGAAAATGGCTTTAATAAGAGCCACTGTTGGCGTTGGCAGCACCTACTGTGACAATTTCCAGGTAAAAGTGACCCGTGCTGTGCTGTAGTGGGGACTGCCGTCAGCCATTGTCGGTACCCGTTTTTGTCAGTGTAGACGTGGACTCTCCTGAGCAGTCCCAGCCCTGCTCCTAGATGCTCCGGTGGCCTCCTCCCCAGGGACTCCTGCAGCTTCATTTCCTGTGTCTGGCACAGCCAGCCGGTAAAGCCCATGGGCGCCCCCCTCGCTGATATCCAGAGAATCTCCGTTCGTGGCCTGTTGGAGAAGGGTCACGGATCTGTGGTGTGTAATAGCCGGTCCACACTCGGGGTGAGAGAGAAACCACACAGGGAAAGGACAGGCAGTAGTGAGCCAGCCAGGGGCAGGCTGGTTCAGGCGGCTGGATCTCACGTGGCTGACTCCATGGCTCAAGTCCTGGACCTGGAGGTTTGAAAATCATGCTGGGCACCCCAACAAGGTCTTGGTACTGTGGTCCACCTCCGGCCTCAGCCAGTCCGGGTCATGGCATACGTGTGCCCAGCACACCTGGGGCGTCTCCAGACACCAACTGGTAACCTTCCCAGTGGGCCTGCCTCATCTAGCTGTGCCTCCCCTCCTGGCCACCACCTTCAGTCTGGACCCAGGGCAGTTATTAAACACACTGATTGTTGGGACCCAAATGAGAAGCTTACAGTATGTTTCGGTGCCAGGAATAGCTGTTTTTCCTTTCTTTTTTTTTTTTTTTTTAAGGATTATTTATTTAATTCCATTTGTTATTTAATTTTTTTTTGGGGGGGAGAGGTTTTTTGCTATAGGGCACATGTGCTTGCCAGAAAGACAGAGAGAGACAGAGAGACAGAAAGCAAGAAATCACCCCCCAGGGGGGATGGCCACTCCGCAGTCCCTTCTCTTCTCGGGATCTTGGGCACACATGCACACATGCCTGGTATGAGTTTAAGCCCCCAGTTCTGGGACTCAAACCATGGTCGACTACATGAGAGTCCAGCGTCATAGCCATTATGCCAACTGCTGGTCCCATTCATTTGTTGTTATTATTTTCATTTTTATTATTATTTTAAATTTGACCAGAGAGAGAAAGGGAATGTGAGAAAGCAAGCTGACAGGTGTGAGACTCGAACCACAGTTGGCCATGTGGGAATCCAGCACCCTTAACCACCACACTACCTGCTGGCACCTAGCTGTGCTTAAAAAACAATATTTATGTATCTATTTGTTGTGATTTTGGGCCACCAGGTCCGGGACTCAAACTGCAGCCAGCCAGTGGGAGTTCGGCGCCTCAGCCACCTGCCGCCCCCGAGCCTTTTTAAAAATTTCTCCGTATGGTGTGTACACTCGCCAGAGACAGGGATAAAGCTCCTCTCATGGGAATGGTCACATCACAACCCCTTCATCTTTCCATCCCATTGGAGTTTGGGGCACGCACACACATGTATTCTGTGTGTTCTCTAAAGCTGCCGGATCCAGATTAGAACCACGTGGTTGGCCATGTGAGATCTGGCTGCCTTAACCGTTAGGCCATGGGCCAGCCTAGCTGTGTCTTTTTTTGTTTCTGTTTATTTTTTTTAAGAGGTTTTTTTTTTGCTATAGAGCGTGTGCGCTCACCAGAAAGACAGAGAGACCAAGAGATAGAAAGTGAGGAATCACCCTCCAGGGGGAGATGGCCACGCTGCAATCCCTTCTCCATTCTCCTCTCTGGATCTTGGGCATGCATGCACACGGGCCGGGCGTGAGTTTAAGCCACCAGTTGTGGGACTTGAACTGCGGTCGACGACATGGGAGTCCAACGACATAGCCATTACGCTAACTGCTGGTCCCTAGCTGTGCTTTTTTGATGTACAACTCCATTTTTATCTGATGGTCAGTGGAGGGCCGAGGCCCTTAGGTTTTCTGTACCTGCTGAGGAGCGTGGACGCGACTTTCGGGGCAGCTCCAGCTCAGGGCCAGGAAGCTGGGGAAGTGCAGGGCCCTGCTCCTCCCTGTGGCTTCAGCTCCTCTTTTCCTGGCCCTTCTCCCTTCCCTGCTTTGCTCACCTGCTAACAGTGCAGGGTGGAGGGAGTGGTCTGGACCTGGCAGGGCGGGCCCTTTGGGGAGAAGTGGAGGTGGGCTCAGCCACCTGTGCTTCCCCAGCTCCCAGGTCTGGCTCCAGAGCACCGTGGCCAAGATGGAAGAGGCCGCGGCCCGGCTCCCCAGCCTCAGCAACCGCCTCAGCTACGCCGTCCGCAAAGTCCACACCATTCAGGGTGAGGAGGGCTCTCTGGTGTACGCCCATGCTTCTCCCACCTTCTCCCCGCTCCCTGCATCACTCCCCAGTCACCCCTTTCCTCCCCGCAAGCTCATCTCTCTTGCTCTCTGCTTTGTCGCCCCAGGCCTGATGGCTCGGAAACTGGCCCTTGCTCAGCTGCGCCAGGAGAGGTGAGGTTCTGGCACTTTGAGGTGGCTGGGGGTGGAGCTTTACGGTGTTGGCTTCTGGGTCTCACAACAGGAGCAAGGAGGGATGGGGGGCTGAGTGGTTGCCCCAATTCTGCTTCTCTTGCCTGTCCCAGCTGCCCTGCACCTCCATCCCAGCTCCCGCCGGCCCCAGACATGAGCCTGGAGTTGCAGCAGCTGCGGGAAGAAAGGAACCGCCTGGACGCAGAGCTGCAGCTGAGCGCCCACCTCATCCAGCAGGAGGTGGGCCGGGTGCGGGAGCAAGGTACAGCTGGGGCTGGGCTGAGAGGAGGAGGAGGACCTGGGGCCTGCGGTGCTCGGAGAGGCCTGAGTGAGCACCGTCCTGCCAGGGGAGGCAGAGCGGCAGCAGCTGAGTAAGGTGGCCCAGCAGCTGGAGCAGGAGCTGCAGCAGGCCCAGGAGTCCCTGGCCAGCGTGGGGCTGCAGCTGGCAGCAGCACGCCAGGGCCAGCAGGAGAGCACAGAGGAGGCGGCCAGTCTGGGGCAGGAGCTGACCCAGCAGCAGGAGGTCTACGGGCAAGGTGTGGGCCAGGAAATGGTGCCGCTCAGGGTGGGGCGGGGACTAAGCTCAGCCCACCTGACGCTCCCTATCTGTGCCCTCGCCCCAGCCCTGCAGGAGAAGGTGGCCGAAGTGGAAGCCCGGCTGCGGGAACAGCTGTCCGACACAGAGAGGAGACTGAACGAGGCTCAGAGGGAGCACGCTAAGGCTGGTGAGCTCTGCCAGGTGGACATGGGCTCTCCCAGAAGGAAGTGTTGAGGCAGGTTATTATCCCCTCTAAACTTTTTTTTTTTTTTTAAGAATTATTGGTTTGGGGACCAGCAGTTAGTGTAATAAGTATGTCGCTGGACTCCATTGTAGTCGAACTGCTGTTTGAGTCCCAGACCTGGCGACTTAAAACTCATGCTGGGTGCATATGCGTGCATGTCTAAAATCCTGAGAGAAGAATGGAGGAGAAGGGATTGTGGCGTGGCCATCCCCTGGGGGGTGATTTCTCGCTTTCTGTCTCTCTCTCTCTCTGGCGAGTACATGCGGCCTGTAGCAAAAACCTCTCCAGAAAAGAATTACTTGTTTTTAGGGACCAGCAGATGGCATAATGCTTATGTCACTGGACTCTCACGTAGTCGAACTGCTGTTTGAGTCCCAGACCTGGCGACTTAAAACTCATGCTGGGTGCATATGCGTGCATGTCTAAAATCCTGAGAGAAGAATGGAGGAGAAGGGATTGTGGTGTGGCCATCTCCCCTAGGGAATGATTCCTCACTTTCTGTCTCTGTCTCCAGCAAGTACATGTGCCCTATAGCAAAAATCTCTTAAAAACAAAACACAAAAATAAACAAAGAATTATTCATTTTTTTAAATAACTATTTATTATTTATTTATTCATTCATTGATTTTTTTTAATTCGACCAGAGAGAGACAGAGGGTGAGAGTGAGAGAGAGAGGAAGTGAGAAAGCAAGCCACCAGATTCACGACTCAAACCCCGGTTGGCCATGTGGGAGTGTCCAGCACCTTGACCACCACGCCACTCGCTGGTCCCTTTTTTTTTTAAAATAACTATTTTATTTATTTATTCAGAACTATTCATTCTTAATTGTTTTAAAGAATTATTTTATTTAACTTTATTTATTCATTGATTCATTTTAATTTGCCCAGAGAAGGATAGTGAGAGAGAGAAGGAGGGGGAAGTGAGAAAGCAAGTCACCAGGTCCGGGACTCAAACTGTGGTTGGCCTCCAAACACCGTGCCACCGGCTGGCCCCAATTTGTTTGAAATTTTATTTATTATTATTTTAAGATTTGACCAGAGAGAGAGAGATTGAAAGAAAGTAGGAAAGTGAGAAAGCTAGCCACCAGGGCCAGTACTTGAACTGCAGTCAGCCATGGGGGAGTCCAGTGCCTCAAGGACCACGTCATCTGCTGGCCCCCTGCAAACGTTTTAAAAAGCCGCTGAAGTGAAGTATGAAGTAATGGAGTTATCAAGGGATGGCGCAGATGGAGTCTCACGTGGTGAACGCACCCACGTAGCCAGCACCAAATCCAGAAGCAGCACGTGACCGCTGTGGAACCTCCTCACGCCTGTCCTGCCACGGCCGCTCCACAAAGGCCACCCCCTTCCCAACACACAGAGCCAGCAGCTAGCTCCAGCACAGACTTCACACCCCGCCCCTTTGGGATGGGTGAAAAGATCATGTGATGAGTGCCTCCGCGCCCTCGCTAGATACAGCACCCCACACTCCATCTCCCTGCGCACACTCGTTCACAGCACGCTCACCGCGTCAGTTAGGGTGAGCTGCCCGTGGGCTTCCCCTGCATCTCCCACACATAAGAAATTCTCTTATAAAACCAAAATGCCTGGGACCAGCAGTTGGCGTAATGGCTATGTCGCTGGACTCCCACATAATCGACCGCGGTTCGCATCCCGGACCCGGTGGCTTAAAACCCACGCCGGGCGCGTGTGCGTGCGTGCCCAAGATCCCGAGAGGAGAATGGAGGAGAAGGGATTGCGGCGTGGCCATCCCCCCTGGGGGGTGATTTCTCACTTTCTGTCTCTCTGTCTCTGTCTGTCTGGCGAGCGCACGCGCCCTATAGCAAAAACCTCAAAAAAAAAAAAAAAAAAAACAAACCACAAACCAAAAAACCAAAATGCCATTATCACACTTTAAGAAGATGAACATGGCCACCAGATGGTTTGGAAGTTAAGGCAGCTGTATCCCATATGGCCAGCTGTGTGGTTTGAGTTTTGGACCCGGTGACTTGAAAAACACACAGGGCTGGGGCCAGCAGGTGGTATGGCGGTTAGGGGTGCTGGACTCCCACATGGCCAACTGTGGTTTGAGTCCTGGATCTGGCAACTTGCTTTCTTGCTTTCCCTCCCTCTCTCTCACTCTGTCCCTCTCTGGTCCATTTATTTATTCATTCATTTTTTATTTTAATTTTGATCAGAGAGAGACAGAGAAAGCAAGCCACCAGGTCCAGGACTTACTATGGTCGGCCGTGTGGGAATATACAGCATTTTAGCCACCACGCCACCTACTGGTCCCTGAATAAAATAATTCTTGAAAAAAAAAAGTCATTAAAAAGAAAAACACACAGGATTTTGCATACCCAAAATCCTGAGAGGAGGATGGAAGAGAAAGAACTGTGGCATGGCCATCCCCACTCGGGGATGATCTCTCGCCTGCTCTGTGTCTTCAGTGAGTGCATGTGCCCTGTAGCAGACTAAAGAAAGAAAGCAAGCAAGCAAGCAAGAAAAGGAATACTTAATTCCCCCGATTTAATATCCAGTCAGTATTCAGCTTCCTCCTAAGTATCTGCAGGGCAGTTGGGGAAGGGACCGTGCAGGACCCTGGCAGCCCCGCCTCTCCCTCTGTAGGAGAGACGCAGCCCCAGCGGATGAGCTTCCATGGTGCCCTGCAGCCTCTGGGCTGACGCACCTGCCCCTTGTGCCCTGACTTCTCCGTAGTGGTCTCCCTGCGCCAGGTCCAGCGCAAAGCCACGCGGGAGAAGCAGCGGGACCAGGAGCTGCGGCGCCTGCAGGACGAGGCCCGGAAGGAGGAGGGGCAGCGGCTGACGCGGCGTGTGCAGGAACTGGAGAAGGACAAGAACCTCATGCTGGTGGGAGACAGGAGAGACGTGGCCCACCTTGAGTTGGTTGGGTCGGGTGTGGAAGAGGACGGGAGGCTCTGCCCGGGCTAGGTGGCGTTTAACCCTCTCCTTCCCAGGCCACCTTGCAGCAGGAGGGTCTCCTCTCCCGTTACAAGCAGCAGCGACTGTTGGCAGTCCTCCCCTCCCCGCCGGGTAAGGAGAAGTTGGTGGAGTCCAGCCCCCAGCCTCCGGAGTCCTCAGCCTCCGTGCCTCCGACCCCAGCTGTGCTCACCAGAGCGTCCCTGAAAGGTAATGAGCTAAGTGCAGGGGCAGGGAGGGAGTCCACTGCAGATGCCCCTGCCCATGCCCGCAGCCTCCGTGGTCCCGGAGACCCTCTGCCTCTTGTTCCCACACCGACTGTAGGCCGAAGGACCTTCCCCTCCCACCCTCGTACCTGTGCCAGCTCTCTGCCCCCAGCCTCCCCTCAGCTGGGCCCACCCCTTGGCGTCTTCTTTTCCAGGGTCCCTCTCTGTCCTGCTGGACGACCTGCAGGGCCTGAGTGAGGCCATTGCTAAAGAGGAAGCTATCTGTCAAGGAAGCAGCTAGAACTCTCCTGCTGGCGTCTGCTGCTGAGCCTCCAGCCAGCCAGGAGCTGAGGGGCAGTCAGCCTGGGGCTGGGAGGGTCGGAGCAGTGGGGCAGGGGCTGCCCAGCCCTCTTCCCCTGGAGCCTGGATCCCGGGGACACCAGCTACCGCCAGGTCTGAATTCTGCACTAAATAAAGCCGGCTATGGAGGAGCCGCCGTGTGGAATGTTCTCTGGGAGCGTGGGGACTGCTCCTTGCCACCTCTCTCCCTGGATGTGACAGGAGGGCCCACGCACAAATCTGACGACATGGTGCCTCTTTTTATTTCCGGTGAAGTTTGCTCGTGGGAGTGTTCGCTTGCTGAAGAGAGGCGTGGGGTGGGGGAAATGAGAAAGTACCTCTTGGGACCAGCAGGTGGCGTGGTGGTTAATGTGCTGGACACTCACACATGGCCAGACACGGTTCAAGTCCCGGACCTGGTGGCTTCC